TTAGGCCCCGTTTACATATTGAATTTCACACCCCTCGGATTAAAAATGAGGAAGAACATGAGGTCTGTAATGCACGTATGACCAAAGCCACCAAACCCCACCTGTAACAACAGGGTTGGGGCCCAAAAATTTATAAGGTAAAGGGAGAGGGGAGGGAGCAGAAAAATCAGAGAGGGAAAACACAGTATTTGTGATGTCTGGATCGTGCAAATCTTTATTGAACATGACCAGCCCTGTAGTCCTGGGTTGGTAAATTGAATTATTTGTGAATCTGTGCTTTTACAGAGCCCAACCAGACTGACAGTGCTCACTTGGTTATAATCAGAAATTAAGCCCAGCTGCACTCCCTGATCTCTGAGGACCAGCTGGAACTCAAGAAGGGGGTTATTTCCTGCTAAATTTATGTACCTTTAATGAAGGTCTCCCCTTTGGCTTCTCACACAGCCAGGCTGGAACTCCTGGAGAGAGCTGAGGATGGGGGAGACCACCCAACCCCAACTGTGCTGCCTCCTCTGGGGGACACCAGCACTTTGCCTCTGCTCCCAGTGAGTGCTGGCTGGGCAGCCAGGCATGTTCCTGGGAGCACTGGGAAGCTGCCAAAACCATGGCCAGGCCATCCCCCTGTCCTGAGTCCCAACTGCTGCCTGCCCAAGCGTGCCCCCCAGCACGGCTCCTGTCCTTTCCCCCTTCCCTCCTTCCCCTCACAATGGCTTTTTCCAGCCTGGAAGTGAAAAATCCCTGCAGCTGCCAGGGGTTCTTCTCCCCTCTGGCCAAGACAAGGATGGCTTTTTCTCCCGCTGCTCTGCAGCAGAGCTGGCAAAACGCCTCTGGAAGAGGGAAGAGGGACTGGCTTCGCAAGCCCGTGCCTGTCAGGGCATAATCAAGTCATTGTCGGGGAGAGGCTGCCCCAGGAGGCTGATCCTGAGCAAAACACGGCCCCAGTGGTGAGCTCTGCACCCCCTGGGGCTGCTCACACACTGGGCCTGTTGTTCCCCACTCGCTGTTGACTGAAGAGCCAATTCAGACCCCAATCGACTCCCATCGCTGCTGGTGTCAAAACGACTCCATTTGCTAAATTAGCTGCTCCCAGATGGCAGGAAACCCATGTTCTGGTCTCGCTTCACCCCGCTTGGGTGAACCTGGCGCTCTCTGTTGAATGGAATTCTGCACCTCTCGCCCTTTTCTGGCAGAAAGATGATGCTGCAGGCACTGGTGGGAGAGCCAGGTGCAAAGGCACCCTCAGGAACACCTGATCAGAGCGGGAATGGAGATGCTGGTCCATCTCAGAGAATATCCTGAGCTGGGAGGGACCCACAAGGATCAGAGTTCAACTCCTGGCCCTGCACAGGACACCCCAAAAATCCCACCCCGTGCCTCAGAAGATACAGCAGGTACCTGCATGAGCCACTCAGGTTCTGAGGGAAATCTGTCCAGGAAACAGTGAACAAGTGTGAGATACAAAAAAAAGAAAAGAAGCAACAGGCCCCTTAAAAACATATTTAATAGTTTTCAAACTTTATTTCATGGTGATTGACGAAAGACACGAGTTAGTAATGGTTATATCATGCTGCTCCTCTACTGTGCATTGCCCTTCAGAATTCATACAGCAGTTCACAATGGTCATTAATTTACCCTATAAATGAAGCCACGTGGACATTAAAAAAAAAACAAACAACACCAAAAAAGGCCAAAAAAAAAAAAAACCAAAACAAAAAAAACCAAACCCAGAAAAAAAAAACAAACCTCAATGTCTCTTTTTTCTTTTTCTTTTTTTT